ATATATATATATATATGAAAAATATATGAAAATGCATGTGGGTATTCATATGAAAGCTCTCGATGAGTGTTACATCGGGATGAGCTTATATCTTTAAAAACATCAATAGTTAAGAAAGTATAGTGCAATTTAACAAAATTAATTATTTAATAAAGCAAAATTTTATTTATTTACAATTTACAAGTTAGGCAGTCACATAGTGACTGCAAGGTTGCTAAACAATATGAAATTGTAACTAATAATTAAAGATATGCGATGAGTACTTGACCGATTAATTACAGATGGCGGATAAGAAACCGATGCTCCAAAAAACATTCACACGTGAATAAAGCTATGAAAAAGAAAAACGGGGAAAAGCGTAGATGTGGCTGGCTTTCATAAGAAGATATTACATACACAGTCTAGTTATCTATTACACAGAAGATAGATACAATATATACTGAAGCGGTGCGCATGACGAGCGTAAATTCACCCTCATGGACCCCACATTGATCGCTTGCACTTCAAGGGGATGCTGGGCAGTCTCGTTTCTGACCCCCAAACGCCGCCTCCAATCAATGCCGCGATTAAAATTTTAAATTCTGTTTCTAAAACATTACTACTAGACATTAGTAATTAAACCATGTGGTCACAATTAAATAAATAAATAATACGTGGTTTATTTTATCTATAAAATTTTAATAGTTCCGTACAAGTGCCTAATCTTTAGCATAAGACAGACAGGACTTCCAAGGATCTCGCTCGCTTCCAGTTTCCATATTTTTTTTTAATCGCCAGACTTTTAATTAACACGTGAGTTATATTTCATTTTAATTTATATTCTTCTTTTTAGTGTAATTATTTCTTCACTTCTATTTTCATAAAACAGAAGATTCTTTTAATTATCGATCGGTCTATTTACTGAAGAATTAAATTTAATTGGAACTTGTGACAATAATACACTTCCTCGTCACTTAAAATTGACGTCGCTATCAATCGATAGACTGAGACAAAAAAAAATTATTTCTTCTTGTTCTAAATTATTTTTTTTAGGCCTCTTTTATTTCTTCTTATTAATAATTTTAATTATTTATTATATTTTAATTAATATTAATAATTGTAAATTTTTTTATAAATTTAGATTGAAATGGCGGAGTTCAGAGGGTACCACATCCCGTCATTCGGCGCGACAGTGAACGTCGTGTGGGAAACGATAAAGATGAAACTACCAGAAAATAGCCCCTGCATGGAATTAATCCGAGGACCTGAACCGGGACAACCAAGACCGGGGGTCGGACAGGGTTTCCAGCCATATGGCGAGGGTGAAAACACTGAAATGACTGAGATGAATGGAGAGCAGGCGTTTGGGGGTCCACAAAATTCCGGAGTCGCTGAAGAGTCGTTTAGTTATCAACGTAATGGGTATGATTCTTAGGAAAATTTTTATTCCTGATAGTACTTTGCTATTACGTGAAGCAATGACGTTTAATGTAAATCGATTGAAAATTTTTAGGGATAAAATTCGCGGAGGAAGTGTTAGCAGCGGCGGGTTCAGTGAATACGATGACGGGGGCGGAGAATTTGCCAGCGGAATTAAAATTAACGAATGGCAAGCTGCATGGAATGTCACCAATGCCATCCAGGTAATTATAATTAGTAATCACATACAATTAAATCGGTAATTTTTTCATTAATTGTTTTAATTATGTTACTTAATTTTTTGATTCTAATTGAAAATTAGAAAAATTTTTTAATGAATGAATATTATTAATTTTTGTAAAAAATTAATTGCTAAGAAGAAAATATTGCGCTTTGAAAAAAAAGTCATTAGAGACAGAATTTTAATTGTTCTTCTTGAAGAAGCAGTAATTAGTAAAAAAATATTTTTAATTTATAAAAAGAAATATTTAACAATTATAAAACTTTCCATAAAATTTAATAATTAATAAAAGATATTTTTTAAAGATATAAGCTCATCCTGATGTTACACTCATCAAGAGCTTTCATTTGAGTACCCACATGCACTTTTGATATATTTTTCATATATACATATATATATAATATATATAAATAAATAAAAAAATTGATGTGGGTACTCAAATGAAAGGTCTCGATGAATGCAACATCGGGATGAGCTTATATCTTTAAAAATGTCAATATTTCACAAAATAGGAGATCATTTCTTAATTATATTAAATTGCACTGTACTTTATTAATTATTGACATTTTTTAAGATATAAGCTCATCCTGATGTTACACTCATCAAGAGCTTTCATTTAAATACCCACATGCATTTTGATATATTTTTGATATATACATATATATAATATAAATATATGAAAAAATTGATGTGGGTACTCAAATGAAAGGTCTTGATTAGTGTAACATTGGGATGAGCTTATATCTTTAAAAATATCAATAGTTCTTAAGATACGAGGTCATTTCTTAATTATGAATCTAGAGATAGAGATTTGAATCCCGAATTCAAAATTTTACTTATTCTCTTAATAATATAAATGTAATGCACTAATTTTTTATTTTATCAATAATTTTTTTAAACTTATTAATAATTTTCTATAAAAGTTAAAAATATTTTTTTTTTTAATTAATTTTTAGGTAATTTTTAATTAAAAAAAAAAAAAAATTTTCTATGAATAGCTTCATAAAAAAACAATTTCTCCTTGAAAAAAAACCTTAAATCTACCTAAAAAATTCTTCCAGGGAATGTTCATCGTCTCTTTACCATTCGCGGTTCTCCGTGGAGGCTACTGGGCGATTGCAGCGATGATAGGAGTGGCGCACATCTGCTGTTACACCGGTAAGATTCTCGTGGAATGTCTGTACGAGCTGGACCCAGTGACCGGCCAGCGAGTCCGTGTGCGTGACTCATACGTAGCGATCGCTAAAGAATGTTTCGGGCCTAGATGGGGAGCAAGAGCAGTAAACATCGCGCAAATAATAGAACTCCTAATGACCTGCATACTCTACGTAGTAGTGTGTGGGGACCTGATGATCGGGAGCTACCCAGAGGGACCAATAGACGCGCGAAGCTGGATGATGCTGATCGGTATATTCTTGATACCCTTGGGCTTCCTCAAGTCGCTTCACCACGTCTCTGTCCTCAGCTTCTGGTGCACGATGGCCCACATTTTTATCAACGTAATAATCCTGGGGTACTGCATCCTGGAGATAGCAGACTGGGGATGGGCCAAAGTAAAGTGGACCATCGACATCGAGACCTTCCCCATCTCCCTGGGTGTCATCGTCTTCAGTTACACTTCTCACATCTTCTTGCCTACTCTCGAGGGTAATCTGATCGACCGGTCCAAGTTCGACTGGATGTTGGACTGGAGCCACATCGCAGCGGCTCTCTTCAAGTCCGTCTTCGGCTGGGTCTGCTTTTTGACCTTCCAAAACGACACCCAGCAGGTGATCACCAACAATCTTCATTCAGTCGGCTTCAAAGGTCTGGTAAATTTTTGCCTGGTCATCAAGGCTCTGCTGTCCTACCCGCTGCCTTATTACGCAGCTTGCGAGTTGCTAGAAAGGGCTTTTCTTCGCGGCAGACCCAAGACTATTTTCCCGACGATCTGGACAGTAGACCACGAACTCAAGGTCTGGGGTCTTGCCTGGCGGGTCGGTGTTATTGTCTTCACTATTATGATGGCGATTTTCATCCCTCACTTCAGTATTCTGATGGGCTTCATTGGTTCTTTCACTGGAACTATGCTCTCCTTCATCTGGCCGTGCTATTTTCACCTTAAACTTAAGAGGAACTCGATGGAGATGCGGGAAGTCGCTTACGACTGTTTTGTTATTGGGTTAGGAGTTGTCTTCGGGGTGATCGGTGTCTTCGACTCGGGCAAGGCTCTTATCAAAGCCTTTGAAATAGGTCTTCCATTTTAAGCTAGCTTTATTATACATAAAATACAAATTATATACATAAATCAGAATATAAATATATAATATATAAATAGTAATATATTATGTTAGAAATATTACTAAGTTCGGTGATTTTACTTATTAAAGAGGATTTATTATTTTTTTGTTCCAACTTACTCGATCCACTTAGAGACTACTCAATTTTTATTTATTTAAAAATTTAGACCCTGAAGCCAAAGTTCCCTAAGGCCTTACACTAATTATACAAATATTCTTAAAATTTATATAATCCACAAGAAGATATTTAATATTAATAAAGATTATTTCAAAATTATAATAATAATTAAAATTATATTGTAAGATATGCCGTAAAGATGTAAAGGTGTTATTTTTTTACTCTAACCGAAGAAATAATTCGAAACGCTCAGAATTATTTTTTCTGCTACTGAAAAAAGTTTCACTGAGTAAAAAATAACATCTTTACGACATATCTTACAATATAATTTTAATTATTATTATAATTTTGAAATAATCTTTATTAATATTAAATATCTTCTTGTGGATTATATAAATTTTAAAAATATTTGTATAATTAGTGTGTAAGGCCCTTAGGGAGCTTTGGCTTCAGGGTCTAAATTTTTAAATAAATAAAAATTGAGTAGTCTCTAAGTGGATATCTTTATATAATCCCAATTAAAATTGTCTTAAAAAATATAAAATTTTTAATTATTATATATTCACCCGAAGATGATATAAGTATACCGACAATATTGTGGTGAAAATAATTAATAAATAAAAATTGAATAGTCTTTATCGAGTAAGTTTGCTTAAGAAAATAATAAATCCTCTTTATTGAGTAATAAGGTAAAAGACTCAGTTATTGACACTGGCATAGTTGTTTCACACTTGCAATGTTATTCTCATTAAAAAAATTAAATGTTTTCAAAAACCTAGTTATCTTAATATTTATAACTAAAAAATTATATTTATTAATTTATTAGAGTCGACTTGTTTTTTTTTTTAATTAAAATAAAATTGCAAGTGTCAATAACTCAGCCAGTGTCAATAACTGGGTCTTTTACCTTATATTAATTATAAATTTTAAATATTAATTAATTTTTTGAAGTAGATTTATATTTTAAAGTTTTAGCCGTTGATGATATTCATCAAATTCAAATGATTTATTTAATCAAAAGTGTCTTCCATTAAATAAAAATAAAATACCGGATGTTACATCAGTTTCTTAAGAAATATTTATCAAGTAAATAATAATTTTGCATATCTTTATTTTGGATTATCGCATGTTTTAAAAGATATCTTTATTTCGCTGTTGATTTCTTCAAAACAGACATCAGACCCGTCGCTCGTTAAAACTTTTATCACTACAGGAAACTATTATTACTGACAACAACGTATTGTTCGTATTACATGACTAATAGTCATTCAAATATATATTATATATATATACATACATATATTATGTGGATAAAATTTAATTACTTAAAAATATTGACTGCGTTATTTGTAAAATTGTCTTCCAGGGGCAACCTCAGATATTTCTAGGCATAGACCCCCGTTTTTTTTTTTTTATTAAAATAAGTTTGATTAGTTATTGAAGAAAAAATAAAAAATATATTTATCAAACGACTAGAAATCAGATAAGAGTTTTTTTCAATTATCGGTTGGATAAATATAATTTTAATCTAACCGGGAAAAAGGATTCTTTTATTTTCTATCGGATTTTCAATCGGGAGTATGTACAAGATTAAATTAATTGATAATAATAATTATATAATGTTGGCTACGTTTTTTTTTTTTGGATTTTATAACTGTATAACATTATAAAAGACAGTTGAAAATTACTTAAGTGTAAAGATATAACTACGTACGTAAAATTTTAGGTAAATTAGCGCATAAAAATAAAGTTCAAAATGGTGATTTTGTTGCGATTATTGATAAATAAATTGAAAAAATTAAAATTATAAACAATACGCAATAATAATTATTGATAAGAAATAAATAAAATGAAAAATAAATTATCAAACGATCAAATCCAATGTCTTCCAAGGTCTTATACGTAAGATCGATAGATCAGTTACTGATTAGTCATTATCATTAATTTTAAGAGTTATCATAGGATTAACTAGAGTATAGTGCATTTGTTAATTGTTTTAAAATAAATTTATTGTTTTAATTTATTATTATAATCAATATTAATAACAATAATACAGTGCAAAAATTTATTTTTATTATTTTGAAGCTATTAAAAAATTATAAGAGATATTTTTTGTAGGAAATTAAATTTTCTATAAAAAATATTCTTATCTTTGTTAATTAATATTAATAACAATAACACAGTGCAAAAATTTATTTTAATTATTTAAAATTTTAGACAAAAAAATTACAAGAAATTTTTTTTTTAGGAAATTAAATTTTCTATAAAAATAATCTTGTCAATTTTTTTAAATTTTTATTTTTAAGAAAATTAATTTAAAAAAGAAAAATTTTTATGATAATTTTATTCTTATTATTTCAACGAGTTTTATTGAAAAAACTAAAGAGCAGATCGATGGATCGTGTCTTATTTCTTTGCTTTGAGTTTTTTTCAATGCAATTATAAATACACTATAAATGTTATTAATTATGACAATAGTTAACTATATATACTAATAATAATGATGAATAAGTATCAATTGAATGATCTTTAAATAATCATGAGTCTTCCATAATAATTGATAACTAATAAATATAATTCTAACGATTAAAATTATTGACAATAATGATATTGACGTTACCTTAAATTAAAAAAAAAATATATAAATAAATTATATATTATTTACTATATTTATTGTTAAGACAAATAAATTGAGAGGAATATAATAAATATGTATATTATAAAACGCTAAAAAGTGTTAATAATTACTTACGGATAAATTTTACATTTAATAATTTTGTTTTAAATTATTTGTCGAATATTGATGTAATTTTTTTTATTAAAATTTCTTCCAGCGTAAGATTAATTTTTTAAACTTTTTATTGGTGTAGAAAGTTACAAATAAAAATGAGATTTAACCGTAAATAATTATTATAAAAATGCCTGTAATATATTAAAAAAAAAAAAATTACCTAAAATGCAGCAAAAAATATAAAGAAGAAATGAATAAAGAGAAATTTAAAGGCACAACGAATCCAGTGGGATTTATTCCATTTGCCTCTGAAAACTCGTAATGTTAAACTCAAGTGTATTATAACACAATTATAAATAGAAATGATAATTATTATATAAATTATAAAATAAAATAATGTAATGGGCTTCCATGATAAAAAAAAAAAATGAAAATATAATGTGAAAATTTGTCATGACTGATCATTTATGCTTTCGTTTTCTTTATCCCCGAAAAATGTTTCGCTTCGGTGGAAACATAATTTCTCTTTGCTTTTTCTCCATCGGAAATCAATAAAAGTCTCGTCAGCTTCACAAATTTTTATATTCGTACTTTTAAGTTATAGCATCCATGTAATGGATATGAAGATTTTGGTGAGTTAAAATTTTTTTTTAATAATAATAATAAATAATTTGTTTATCATATACTTACTTATTGTTTTTTAGATGGTTGTTTTAATAGTTTGTGCAATTTTCACGAGCATCAAAGCGGATTCAACAAGAAGAAATCAGAAGAAATTAAAAATAAGTCGCAGAGAAGATGATGATAGTGAGTTTTATTTTTTAATTTTAAATAAAAATTTTTATTTAAATAAATTTTTAGTTTTTTAAATAAAAAAAATTATTAATGATGATTTTTTACATTTTTAGATTTTATTATTATTATTTTAAATGAAATAATTAATGAATATTAAGTTAGCCGACACCTAAAAATTTTTAGAATTTTTTGTTATTGATAAAATTATTAAAAAAAATTTTTCATTTGTAAAAAACTTGAAAAACTATAAGTGCAATTTTTTAAAAATATTTTTTAGTTATTTAATAAATGAAAAAGTATCCAAAAATTAAAAACGTCAGCTAACTTTAATGTTATAAATAATGAAGATTTTTTATAGGCAATTTAATTAATAATAAAAAAACTTTTTTATTAATTCTTTTATATTTTTTATCTTTTAGATAAAATATTGATTTAAATAAAAAAATTATTATTATTATTACAGATTCAGGACGTGTCAGAATAAAAGTTTTTCATGACGGATTGGATGAAAACCAATTTGCACGATGGGGATACTGGGTATCCCAGCCGAGAGAAGAAAATTAATAAAATTATTATCTAAATTGAGTAAATATTTAAAAGTAATTAAAATAATAAACTAAATTAGGTAATACTTAACTAATAATTATTTAAAAAATTAATTTAATAAAATTATTTTTAAAAATATGCAATAAAAAAGAAAAAACAAGTAAAATTTTAATTTTGCTTCATATATTTTAATATAAAATGCTCTTTAAAGAAACATTGTTACAAAAAAAATGTTCCACACTTTATACCTAAAACAATCATTTAATTTTTCACTTTTTACCGGCGTACTTCGGGTTATTTGGATTCTTTTGCTCTGCGTGGTTATCCAGATCAGCTTTGCCACCTTGTCCGTGGTACCCAGCTTGATGTCCTGGACCAGATGGCTTATGATCAGGATTGCATTGATCTCTTCGGTTATCTTGAGCAGCTTTGTCCATCTATAAATCACAAAATAAAATTATTTTTCTACAAAAGGAACATTTTAAGTCACTTGCAAAAATAAAATTTAAAAATCACAATAAAGAAGAAATATTATTTATAATTTATAATTTATAATTTATAATTTAACAATTATCACTAGAAAAAATAAAAATTATTTTTAAATTAAGTTAAAAGTTGTTAAAATAATTATAAATTATTTAAAACAGTGTAAATTAATTAAACCTTTGATATTTATTTGAATAAAAACAGTAGTAGGAGCTTCGTTATAGATTCAGCGAAGAATGTGCTCTGGCAGTAATGATCTGGGGCTTATATACTGGGAAGAGTTCTAGGGGAGAGAAGAGTTCTCGTCGTTTTCTCAATGGAGCTTTTGTTTATACCTAGAAATTATGAATCTAAGTGCGTGTATACTTATTGTGTAAACTTGAAAGATAAAAATTAAAAAACGAAATATATAATTATTAAATTAATAATTAAAAAGAATTTATAATTTAAAATTGATAATTTATAATTTAAAAAATATTTTAATAGATGTACAATGCAAATTGGCATTCATGTAAACAAATAAATTAATAAATGAATAATAATTCTTGCCAATCTTTACGCTTTTAAATCATAAACTTACTAAATATAAACTTTGTAATAACTTTGTATTTTTTTTTTTCGGTAAAGTTTTGTGAGAAGTCACGTACTCAAGATTAAATTACTTTTGTTAAAATAAATTTTATGCGAAAAATAATTTCAAACCATAACTAAAAGTAAATAACTTTGCATATTTATTTTTTTTATTAAAATACTAACTTTCAATCTTTCATATACCAGCATTGACATGTTTTATTGCTTTTTTTAAATGCTCGTGGTTGCCGGAACTTTATTATCGGGCCCAAGAACTAATAAAAATTTTTTTTTACGCACTAACGTTTATAAGCCGGACGAGAATTATTAAAATCGTGATTGAGTTTAGAGAAGAAAAAAAAACTATTTTAAGATAAAAGAAAAAAAAATTTTATCAAGCTATTTTATATTTTGTAACTTGCAGTTTAATTTAAAAATTAAAAAATTAATAATAATAATAATAATATAAAATTTAATAGAAGATCGTAGACTCGGAATTCAACCCGCTGTTCAAAGAAATACTACCAGGCCTAGGAGCTAGGAGCGAAATATTTAAATGAAGAAGCTGAGAATAAAGAAGACAAAGAGACTTGGACCAGACTCAGGTGTGGCAATGTCGGTAGAGCAAGGAAAGGTTTCAAAGACTACTGGAGCTGCAGATTATGTGGAGGAGTCAGAGAGAACCTAGAGCATATATTCAGCTGCAGTGAAATAATGAAGCTACAGAAGGAGCGGGTTGTGGAGTATATATCTAGCTGGAAAGGGGAAAAACTGGAGAATGAGTTGCGATGGCCAATAATTGAAATGTTGAGAGGATCTGTGGTTAAAGAGATGTGTGAGTATATTAGGAAAGTAGAGAGTAAATGGAGAGAATGAGTTTATTTAATTGAGGAGAAAATATGTGTATGAGTGTAAATCTATGGTCATTATTTTATTTTATTAGTTCAATGAACCCTACAGCAAAGCCATTAATCTGGTTCCATATTACATAGAATTTAATACATTATTTTAGTTAAAAAAAATTATTATTAATATTTATATAAGTCACTATAGTATTAATTAGTAAGAGTAAATATTATGCTCCAGTTTGTACAATGTTTGCCATACAGAGTTTTGTAAAACATTTAGAACTACTTATTTTATGAACATCCAAATTATGTGAAGATATAAGACTAAAAATATATTGTACAGTAGTCTGTAAGAAAATTAGTGTAATAGTAACATGTGTGATAACACTGAGTGATTATAAAAACATGTAAAATGATGTATGGAAAATGTAAATGCTTCAAAAGCATGCATTGAAAATAAATAATAATAATATAAAATTTAATAATTTGAAAATTAGTTATAAAAAAAAATATTTAGAAAACTAATTTAAATAATGAATTTAACTTACCTGTATTATATTTATTTTAAAGTTATTTCTTCATTTCTTCTTAGAAATTAACGGCGCAAAAATTATTCGACGGATGTTACTTAATAATTAATAATTAAAATAATAAACTAAATTAATTCAAGGATTATTAAAGGAAGAAATATGAAATTGAGAAGATATACAAATTAAAATTTAGATTTGAGTATATTTTATTATAAAATGCTATTTAAAGAAACATTTTTACAAATAATTGTTCCACATTTTATACTTGATAGAATCCCTTAGCATTATTTTTTAGAGTTTTGCTTACAGTACAGCAACTTTTATAAAAATTTAATGATGTAATGTAAGCAAAATGCTTGAATAAAAAAATACTGCTAAGGAATGAATGTTATGTTATTATTCACTTTTTTCCGTATTTAATGTCTTGGGGATTACACTGACGGCTGTGGTTGTTACGGTCGGAAGTAGTACCAGATCCATGGTAACCCGCCTGATGACCAGGTCCGGTTGGTGCGTGATTTGGGTTGCATTGATTGGTGCGGTTAGCGTTTCCGGCTCTGTCCGACATCTGTAAAAATTAGAAAAAATAATTAGAAAATTTTTCTATGGAGTAATAAAACTTATTAATTATCAAACAGTATTGTAATGATTATCAAAAAATTTAATTATATTTTTTCAAGTGAATTAAAATTATTATTAACAAAGTGATATATTTAAAAATTATAACTGAAGAAATATTACTTAAAAATTCATACCTTAATTTTTTGATGATTTTATTTAATGCGATTGAAAATATATAGAGCTTATATGAATCTGCTAGAGTTGCTTGCGTGAAAATAATGAACTCCGATGATGAGTGTCGGGGTTTTTATACTCACTTCTTCAGGATTCCCATAACTTTTTCACAGCGAAGTAGTTGTAATTGGAAACCCCATGATTCGTCATATAAATTCGTTTAAATTTCTGCGCATGCGCTGAAGTTAGTTCTAATTATAAATTATTGTTTAAAAAATATAATAGCAAAAAAAATATTGAATTTACAATTATAAAATTTTTTTAATTACAATTAATCATAAAAGTTGTTTATTAATATTAAAAAATATCTTTTTTCTCCATTTCCTGTCACTTGAATAATTAAAACGGATCTTACATCATATTAAAATAGTTCCGCTGTGATAATTATTTATTTAATACTTATTTCTTATTAATTTTATAAGTATCTCATTTTTTAAAATAATTTCCTAGAAAAAAATGTTTGATAGATTATCAAGTTGACGATAAATATAATTTAATAATATTAAGGAAACTTATTTAGTTAAAATTTATGATACTGAAATCAACAGACATTTTACATTTTTTAAAATATTTATAACAATGAAATTATTATGAAAAAAATTTAGTACAAAAATGTCACATGTAGAAATTTCAAAACAATTATAAATGTGAATTTTAAAAAATATATTTTTTTAATTATAATTGATTTGTTAATAAAATTTCAAAAATTGGAAGATTTCTGCTAATTTCAGGATAATTAAAATTTTATAAAATTAAATGTAAAAGAAAATATTATGCGGGTGAAAAAATGCATCAAGAATAATTTTCACCAAATTTTATTTTTACAAGTTTAAAAAAAATTATTTAACTTATTTTTATTAAATTCCCATTATGTCTTTTACAGTCGCGTCAAATGACCTGAAAAATTAATATATATTATTAATTCAATAATCATCAATTGTCGCATATAATTAAAAATAATTACTTAGATTCAATAGGATCCCCAGGAATGTAAAATGGATTGCAAATAGCATTACAGTAAGCCGTGTGAAGTTTTCGGAAAATCTAAATATTTAAAAAATGAATTAGTTATGTCTCAAATTATTTAATTATTTAGATATTTTATCAACAAACCATTCTGACATCATTGTCTCTAACAGTGGTACTTGGAGTCTGCAAGACAACAACAAACTTGACCTTGGTATTTGTTGCATACCCGAAACTATAAATGAACAATAAACAAATAAATAAATTTATTTTAAAAATAATAATTAATTAAATAAATAAATACTTACATTTTATGTTCATCTGTAAAATGGAGTAGTCCTAAAAATAATTCTCTGCTGTCAGTGGCTGTTATTTTATTCCCGGTGTTTAACTTCTCTTCAATAATATCTATTGACGTATGAACTTTGTAATGAAGTTCAACTTCACTTTCTTCGGATAAACATTTAATATAAAGTGGTGAATTCTAATAAATAAATAAATGTTATTAGAGAAACATAAAATAGAATATTTCAAGAGCTAGTTTTTATCAAAATACAAGATAAAAATTAATTTAGCAGATATTTGATAATTTTTTTAACAAATAAATTATGGCAAAAAAAGTAGAATAAAAAATTGACATGTAGAAATTTTAAAAAATAAAAAATGCAATTTTTTGGAAAAAAATCTATTTGTTAAAAAAAATTAAAAAATAGTTCATGCTAACTTTAATGTCATTGACGTATGAACTTTGTAATGAAGTTCAACTTCACTTTCTTCGGATAAACATTTAATATAAAGTGGTGAATTCTAATAAATAAATAAATGTTATTAGAGAAACATAAAATAGAATATTTCAAGAGCTAGTTTTTATCAAAATACAAGATAAAAATTAATTTAGCAGATATTTGATAATTTTTTTAACAAATAAATTATGGCAAAAAAAGTAGAATAAAAAATTGACATGTAGAAATTTTAAAAAATAAAAAATGCAATTTTTTGGAAAAAAATCTATTTGTTAAAAAAAAAATTAAAAAATAGTTCTGCTAACTTTAATGTCAATGACACTAAAGTTAGCAGAGGTCTAAAAATTATTGATTTTTGTTTATTAATTAAATTACAACTAAAAAGATATTTCTAAAACATTGCACTTATAGTTTTTCAAGTTTTTTACATGTGAAATTTTTTTTTTTAATCAGTTAATTGAAATTTTTTCAATAAAAAATTTCTAAAAATTTTGAAATGTCAGCTAACTTTATTTTCATTTAATGTCATAAGTACAAGTTACTTACATCTTTACCGATAACTGCAATGCAAAGAACCATTTTCACAAAATAAATATTTAATAATCAATAAACAATCAATTAAACACCTTCATACTAATAAACAATAATTAAAAAATCAATAACAAGCTTTTATTTACAAATGTTAATCCCACTATTGATCAGCTGACCATGACAGGAGTGAATTTGAAGGTTATGATCTATTAGTGTTTATATTCAATTTATTTACATTTATTAAAAATTACAATTGACATTTATTTTATAATTTTTTGCTGTTAAAAAAATAAGGCAGTGTGAGATTACTCTGATAGATTTTTTTTAAAAGTGAGTTTTCTTGAATGAGTTAAAAAAAAATCTGTCTATTTACAACTGCTTAGAACTTGGCTCCTCGTAATACCTCCTCTTCATCGTTCGATATTTTTTCAGCATGTACAGCGATTCAATCTCCTTCATGACATATTTACCGCGATCGATCATCTTTTCTATTTTCTCTGAGTCAGTTTCGTATTTATTTTTCATAAAAGCTTTTTTCAGATTTTCTCGGAAAAATTTGTATCCTTGAGGATAATCCTTGCCCATATAAAGGAGCTAAATAAATAAAAAAATAATTTAATTGCTAAAACTAATTAAGTAAGTGTTAAAAAACAATTTTATTAATAATAAAAAATTAATTAATTAATTTAAATACAAGTAATTACCTCTTTATATAACTCCAAAACTCTAGCTCGTAGAGCCATTGCTTGCCAAAGTCCAATTAACCGTCTGGTCTATTATCCAAGGCCTTTTTAATGAGATTCGTAAAAATGTTTATTTTATTTATCTTTAAGCTGGTTGTTTTTTATTTAATTATTAAATAATTGCCAGCCTTGTGTTAAGTCTACAAATTTAAAAATTTTAAGTAGTGTTTTTTTTTTTATCAATAAAAAAAAATATATACATATATATCTCCTATAACATTTTTTATTGTCCATTAATATTATCTCTAACAAAGAATTTATTTTTAGTTACTATTAATAATTATCTTACTTAATTTATTTCGCTGAAAAAAATAAAATCGCTTGATTAAAGGAAAAGGATTGGCAGCTTGTTCCCTGAATGATTAATAATAATAATAATTAATTAATTATAAAAACAGTTTTTAATTAAACTTATGTAGACATAATGGTACCTGCTAAAAAATAGACAGCAGTATAATCGATTTATATATATAATTATTTAAACCAACTCAACGTGAAATTGCACGAAAAGAAATAAAATAAAATTTAAAGTAAAAGTAATTGGAATTTTATAATAGAACGAATAATTTATGCAACAGCCCGGGCTTCGGGTAAAAAGCTTTCCCAGTGTTTGATTAATTGGTTTTGATGCTGAAGCATCGCCTCCAAATACTCTGTAAGCTGTTTTTTAAAATCGTCGACTTTCAACACTTCAAATCGTTCGACTTCCTTTTTTATCATCTTGGAAATATTATCAAACTCTTCTTGACCTCGGTCTACTTTCGCTTCCCAGTCGATGACTTCAGTAGCTGCTTGCGTTGTTTTATCGCTTCTACCTGCTTGTTCCAGTCGCGCTTTTTGTTCGCGTTTTTTGTTTAACATCATTTGAGCGTGCTGCCAGTTTTGGCATACTTTTACTCGTTCATGGAAAACATCCTAAAATTATTAAATATAAATTATTATTATTTTATTTTAATAAAAAAAAAAAATGATACTGAAGTTAACTGACAACTGGTAATTTTTTTAATTTTTATAACAAATTAATTACAATAAAAAAATGCTTTTAAAAATTTTCAGTAATTATTTTTTTTTTTCAATTTTCACATGTAGAATTTTTTGTTAAATTTTTTTTCACAATAATTTCATTGCTATTAAATTATAAAAAAATTTCTAGTGTCTGTCAACTTCTGTGTCATAAAAAAAAGGTAAATATTTACAAGTGGGGTCAACCATTTTCATTTTCATCTTTTTTAACGAAATTTCTATTTAATTTTATTGATATATTTTTTTTTTGAAAATTACATAAAAAAATGAACAATTAAAAAAAAAAGTTGATTATCACAATTTTAACAAATTTTCAAAAAAATTATAAATTTTTTAGAAAATTGTAATATTCAATTTTTTTTTTTAATTGTTCGTTTTTTTTATGTATGTAATTTTTCACCTAGTTATGGCCCACTTGTAAATAATTACCAACAAAAATTATTGATTCTGTACCTTAATAGCACCAATAAGAGCAACATAATCTCTCAACATTTCTCCAAACTGATAAAGATCACTATTACTCTGAGCGCGTCTAACAACTTCGACCTTCTCCAAAGTCTCAGCCAACTGAGCCAAGGCTCTCCCTAAGGAAACTCCAACTTCTCCATGACCTAGGACTGCTATCGACTTGGCACTGGCACCAGTACAGTTGGCTAATTCGTGTCTCTGATTGGTCAGAGTTTCAACAGCGGAATGTAGTGCTCTTAGCTGGGTGTCCAGCGAGTCTATCTGGGCAGTTTTTTCTTCGAACCACTGTAAATAATTTTTAAAAAATGAAAATACAATCAAACAATAACTATCAATGGGTAATGCTAAAGCAAATGCTGAGTGACGATGTAAGCGTTTGATGCTGCGAAATTTAATGAACGTACCTTACCCTCCTAATGCAGGCAACAAAAAAGTATGTCATAGTCTTATGATTTTTTTATTGCATGCAGCGAGGCTTTTAATAGGTATTTATTAATCTTTTTGTTAATTTTTATTTTTTTTACATAATTAAAAAAACCTTAGGACTTACCCCATCACTTTCATCCATTTTGTAAGTTATTTTGTTCATTGTCTCGCCTACTTTGTTAAAGAGACGCATTACTCCAGCACCACTCAACGCCGAGGTACTCGTAGCTTTCGGTAATTCCATATCTAATTAAGCAATTAATATTATTACATTAGTATAAGTTAATTAAAATCAATAACTATGTACTAGTAACCTTGCAGTCACTATGTGATTAACGTTACTTATGAACTATAAATAAATAAAATTTTGCTTTATTAAATAATGACTTTTGTTAAATTTCACTGGACTTTCTTAATTATTGACATTTTTAAAGATATAAGCTCATCCCGATATTACACTCATCAAGACCTTTAATTTGAGTACCCACATGCATTTTGATATATTTTTCATATATACATATATATAATATATATAAATATATGAAAAATTGATGTGGGTACTCAAATGAAAGGTCTTGATGAGTGTTACATCGGGATGAGCTTATATCTTTATAAATATCAATAGTTCACAAGATACAAGGTCGTTTCTTAATTATGTTAAATTATTGCACTGTACTTTCTTAACTATTGATATTTTCAAAGATATAAGTTCATCCCGATGTTACATTCATCAAGAGCTTTCATTTGAGTACCCACATGCATTTTGATATATATATATCTTTAAAAATGTCAATAGTTTTCAAGATACAAGGTCATTTCTTAATTAATGGTGGTAATAAAGTTAATTACCAGCTTCTAAAAATTCCCTGAAGTCAGGATCGACGCTGAGAACCGGATGCATCGCTGTTCTATTTAAATATCGCTCCAAAGCAGCTCGGCGTCTCTCGATAAATTCCGTAGAGCTTGAATTTTGTTCCTGGCTTTTATCACCGGACATTTTTATTTTCGTCATACCTAAATACAAAAGAATTAATTGTTAGTATCGTATACATATATGTAATGAAAGAGATATAGATAAGGATAAAAAATAAAATGAGCAATACCGATAACGCTCTTCTCCGGCGCTGGCGGAATGATTCTGCCGCTTCTCAGATATTTTTCGACGAGCTTATCATGCAGCCCGAGGAAATCGCTGAATCTTCTGATAACGCTGAAACTTCTCTTTCGGAAAATAGGCATGTTGGTTTTTGTTTCGACCCTGTACACCACGTAGGCACTCATTCCTTCGCCGATTTTTTGTGGAGATGTTACTGTTATTTTTAATAGAGTTTCCGTCGACTCTGTCGGCACCTAGATTAAATTTTTAATTTATAAATTGAATAAATTTAATAATTGTATTATTAATAAATTGTATGAAAATTAAAGTAGCCGATATTTAATAATTTTTTATGGAAATAAATTACTACAAAAAAAAAAAATTAGAAAAAAAATTGACTTTTAGAAATGTTAAAAAATTGAAAATGCAATTTTTTATAAATAATTTTTTAGAATTAATTTAATTGTTATATAAAATTAAAAATTGGTCAAGTGACAGCTAACTTTAATGTCATAAATAAACTGTAAATTTATAAATTAAATAAATTTTAAAATTTTATTATTAATAAATTGTAAAATAAATTTAATTAATTACTTCTTCAAGAGATTGAGACTGTTTAAGCGATTGTCCAGTCGCTTCATCATTAATTGGCACTTCATGAAGATCTCCCATGTCTTCAGACATACCCAGTGGCGAACTCAGAGGTCCTGGAGCTGGACTTGACACCGTGGAATACGAATTGTCATCAGGTGCATCTCGTAAAGACAATTTAGGAAGCTCAGCTGTCACTGATACTCCATTGAAAGAAGAATTGGTCAGTGGATTTTGATCCTGTGATAAAATTAACATATTGCATGTCATCGGCACCAGCAAAATAATCCCAACAATTAAATGTAACAATTAAATGTTTTATTTACCTGGATAGCAGAAGCAAAAATATCTTCATCATCATCCTCCAGCTCATTGTCTCTGTTAATGTCAACTTGATCAAATAGTGGTGGTGGTTCCTTGTTATCAGCCATCTTTATTATATTGTTAGTTAATAAACAAATGAAAATAAATTTGTATACTCTTTAACTGATGGCTATGCTAGTTGGTTTTAAATTGACAGCGATTACCAGGGGATCGGCCCACTAGCAAGTACTATCGCGTTCTGTAATCACAAACACAGTCTCTGTTCTGAGAATCGTAGTCGTAGTACAATTATTCATCTAATACCGGTTAAGTGATGGTGATGGTGATTAATTTATGCTACTTGCCACTGGTGTGTTGCTCTTTTATGACAATCAGCAGAAAAATATTGACCAATCGGATTCAATTGTTTTTAACCAAAACATTTTTTATAGAGAATTTTTAATTTCTCTAGAGTGTTGGTAATTTTCAGATCATACTCTGAAGTTAGCTGACAATTCAAAATGTTATGAAAATTTATTTAGCAGATACCTATTTGATAATTTTAAAAGTTTTTTTGACAAATAAAATTATTTAAAAAATTCACTTGTAAAAATTTTTAAAAATAATTTTTCAGAGCAAATTTATTTGATAATACTGAAGTTAGCTGTCAGCTGTCAATTTTAAAAATTTTTTTAACAAATCAATTATAATAAACTTCTAAAAATTTTTACTTGTAATTTTTATAATAATTTAATTGCTAAAAAAATTTCTGTCTTTCAACTTCAGTGTCATTTTATTTGTCAAAAAAAAACTGAAAAATAGTTAAGTGACTGTTAACATTCATGTCATAAAATTTTTACAAATATCATTTGTAAAAAACTTGAAAAATTATAAGAGCAATTTTTTAAACATAGTATTTAGTTCTAGTTAAATAATTAAAAAAGAACTAAAAATATTAATAATTTAATAATGCCGGCTAACTTTAGTATTATGACAGATAAAAATATAGAATTTTATAGCAATTGAATTATTATAAACAAAAATTTAATTAAAAAATTCCACATTTGAAAATATAATACTAAAGTTAGCCGACGTTTTGAATTTTTGGATTTTTTTCCAATAATTAAATTAAAACAAAAAAAAATTTTTTAAAAATTGCACTTACAGTTTTTAAAGTTTTTTACAAATGAAATTTTTATTTTATTTATTTGTAATAATTTTTTCAATAAAAAAAAATTATAAAAATTTTTAGATGTCGGCTAACTTAATTTTCATTTTGAAAATTAGTAAAAATTAAAGTCAAAATTTTTTAGAAGCATTTTTTTATTGTTATTAATTTGTTAAAAAAAAATTTTAAATTGACAGCTGACGGCTAACTTCAGTGTTATAATTTTTAATGTATATTTTCTGCTTTTTGTGTATATTTTGAGTATTATTATACAAAAGTATGTGGTAGTTAGTTGTAAATAGATTTAAAGCGCGTCACTTTTCACACTGACAATACTCAGTATTTATTTATTTATATACACCAGTCAAATATTGATAAATAAATGAATAAGCATGAGCATAAATAAATCAAAGTTTTTATCATTGAAATAGATTTGATAATGTGAAGTGAAATAAAATAAAATTTATCTGATCAAAATAAAATAAATAAAAATATTAACTTCAGTCAAAAGTAAGTAGAAAAATTTATAAATAAATAACTTTTATATATAAGTACTCAGAGAGTAGGTATTAATAAAATTTCTAAAAATATTTTAGGATGCCATTCAAATTTCATCTGAAGAAAAGTCGCCAGTACAACGTAGTGTCTAAAAACCAATATGTAATATGTGTAGAGCTGCTGGACCAGACTTCGATAGAATGTACTTTGGGGATTGACAGTTTGGGTCAAGAGTGTCTGGAAAATGTCACGCAGCGGCTGGGGCTGGGACAGCCCGACTTCTTCGGTTTGAGGTACATCTGCAGACATGGGGAGCCTTCGGCAAGGTGGGTTGACATGGACAAGCCGCTGAAAAGACAGCTGGAAAAAGAGGCCAAGAGTTTCAGTCTGTATCTCAGGATTATGTTTTACATAACCGATGTTCAGTTGATACAAGACGATATGACCAGGTATCATTATTATTTGCAATTGAAGAGTGATATTTTGGAGGGAAGAATTCAATGTAGCTCGAGACAAGCTACTTCGCTAGCTAGTTACTCGATGCAAGCTGAGCTGGGGAACTATGACCCTGCGAGACATACTTTCGAGTGCCTTCAACAGTGTGCCTTTTTTCCTAAAGTAACTTTCTTATTTACTTTATAAACTCTGATGAAGATTGTTGAGTAATTAATTAATAATTATTTTTTTTTTATTTTAGGATGTAATAGATGCTGAAGCAAATGGTAAAGATGGATTGTTACATTCAGCGATTTGTCAGTATAAAAGTTTGGCTGGAGTAACTCAAGCGGTTGCTGAAGAATATTATATATCCAGCGTTGTTCAATTAGAAGGATACGGTCATGAATCATTTACTGCCAAGGTAATTATTTCACCTAATTAATGAAATTTTTTATACTCCAATTATTGATACAAGCAACGTTGCAGTCACTATGTGACTGCCATGACTTGTGGACTATAGACAAATAAAATTTTGCTTTATTAAATAATGACTTGTGTTAAATTGCACTGTACTTTTTTAATTATTGACGTTTTCGAAGATATAAGCTCATCCCGATGTTACACTAGTCAAGAGCTTTCATTTGAGTACCCACATGTATTTTGATATATTTTTCATATATACATATATATAATATATATAAATATATGAAAAATTGATGTGGGTACTCAAATAAAAGGTCTCGATGAGTGTATTGTCGGGGTGAGCTTGTATCTTAAAAAATGTCAAAAGTTCACAAGATATAAGGCCTTTTCTCAATTATGCTAAAATGCACTGTACTTTCTTAACTATTGATATTTTCAAAGATATAAGCTCATCCCAATGTTACACTCATTACGAGCTTTCATTTGAGTACCCACATGCATTTTGATATATATTTCATATATTTATATATATATATATATATAAAATATATGAAAAATTGATGTGGGTACTCAAATGGAAGGTCTTGATGAGTGTAACATCGGAATGAGCTTATATCTTTAAAAATGTCAATAGTTCACAAGATACAAGGTAGTTTTTTTAATTATGTTAAATTGCACTTTACTTAACTATTGAGTTAACCATTAATTTTTTCAAAGATATAAACTCATCCCAATGGTACATTCATCAAGAGCTTTCATTAGAGTACCCACAATGAAAGACCTTTGCAATGATTAAATTTCACTAAAAAAAAACGATTTTATCATATGACTATCCTGGACATAAAATTTTTCTTATTCTCTTAATAATATAGATGATTAAATAACTAAAAAAAAAAATATTTGAAATCAGGATGAAGCTAATAATCAAGTAGTACTTGGAATATCAATAAACGGAATAATGGTTGGGTATCCATCGACACAAGCGACCCAATTTTACCGATGGAAAGACATAAGCAACGTTATAAATCACAAGAAAACATTTCGAATAGAGTGTCAATCAGAGCATGAAGAAGCTAAGCAGTTTTTCTTTCGTGATTCACGCAGCGCTAAGTACACATGGAGGCTGTGCATAGCTCAACACACGTTCTACATGCAACATCAGGAGTCTCGACCCTCTGAAAGAGTAACGGGATACTTTGATAGCGATACTAATGATTCAACCGAGCAGACAGCTTCGGTGAATTTAGAAAATCGCAACACGGATGACTCCATGCGCTGGACTAGTTACAACGATCTCTCGACGACGCCTTATCCGCCAGTGGTTTCAGTTTCTTCCACGGATCTTAACAATCTTCGTGCTCTTCTGCCGTCTTACAGACCAGCACCTGACTACGAGACTGCCGTCCAGATGAAGTACAACGGTGGTAATCCTCCACAGCCTTATTATGCGAACCAATCGACGATAGTTAACGCTGAACTCTGTTTACTCGGCAATGTTGTCAACAGAAATAGATATTAGTTATTTTATTTTATTAATTTTAATCCACGCTTGTTATTTTTTTTATGTTTAAAAATATATTTTAATAATTGTATAACAATTTTAATCAAACATTTTATGTATAATCGTTTTATTAAATCACTTTTTAAAATATCTAGTTAATGACACTGAAGTTGAGACATTAATAATTTTATAGCAATTAAATTATTATGAAAAAAATTTAATTAAAAAATTTCACATGTGGAAATTAATAAAAATTCTCGTTCAATAATTTTTGATTTTTTTTTTTTAATTAAATTAGAACAAAAAAAAAAATAATTTTACAAAATTGCACGTATAATTTTTAAAACTTTCCACATGTGACATTTTTTTAATTAATTTTTATTTAATAATTTTTTCAATAAAAAAAAATTCTAAACATTTTTAGATGTCGGCTAACTTAATTTTTATTTTCAGTGCCATTAAAATTATCATCAAGATATATTTTTTATAGCTTCCAGGAGAGACTGAGGATTTGGTTTAGCAGCGGTACCAGTGACGGATAGTTCAGCTTTGACTAGCGCTTCTGCTGTTACAGGTCCAATCGCTACAGATTTTATTTTATCTAGTGACAAAGATTTTTCTTTTGCAGCATTTACCAAAAATTCTACCACAGACGGGCTAAAAAATACAAAAATTTGAGGCCTATTTGAAACAATCTTTGATAAATCTTTTCCTAACGAATCTGCTGGTAAAGTTTTATACACATTTAATTTCTCGAATTTAATGTCATTGGCAGTTAAAACTTTTAAAATTGTATCTCTTGATATTTCGCTGCAAGGATACAGCAAAGGTTTGATATTTTTTTTAAATTTATTTACAATATACTCAGCGAGCTCGCGAGCATTCCCGCTGTGAGATCCTTCACATAAATTTAATTCAAGACACTCTTTAGCACAGGCTTCTGTAGAAGGTCCTACGCAAAAAGCTGGCAGTTTTTTCCATGCATCTAAATTGTCTGTTACAAAACTGACTGCTTCAATTGATCTTGGGCTAGTAAATATAAAACCTGTGAAGTAATTTTTTTTTTATAAATTATGAATAATTATTTTATTTATTTATTATGAAAATTAATTTAGCAGATATTTAATAATTTTTTTAACAAATAAATTAGAAAAAAAATTGACATTTAGAAATTTTAAAAAATAAAAAATGCAATTTTTTTCAAATAATTTTTTGGAACAAATTTTTTTGATAAATAAAATTGAAAAATTTTTAAGTGACTGCTAACTTTAATGTCATAAAAATTTTAGAAAATTAAAAATGCAATTTTTTATAAATAATTTTTGGAAAAAAATTATTTTGTTAAATAAAATTAAAAAATGATCAAGTGACTGCTAATTTTAAAAACATTATTATTTTACCGGAGTAAGATTCTGGATGATGTAAACATTTTTTGAGAATGTCCAAATTTATAAATTTAAAAGTCAGTGTCTTCAATACTTGACAATTGTACCCAGCTGCATTTAAAAACTTGACATACTCTTCTTGACTTTCATTTTTATCACTCAATCCTTTACACAGAATTACATCCCAATTTTTTGACATATTCCTAAATTTGTTTGTAAAATATTTAATTTATAAAACTTTAAATATTTATTCATTACTGATTACTTGCACTTGCTAAGAAAAAAAAAAAAAAAAAAAAAAATAAACATTAGACATCTGGTGTCCGGTATTAAAACTTCTGAAATTTATAAAAGCCGCGAAAGTATAAACTAAATTTTAAATGAGTAAATAAATAAATTTATGAAAAACTGTATTTATTACATACTTGTTCTACAAGCATTATTTACAGTATATATAAATGAAAGTGTCAAAGTTGGTTCAAAAAATCTAACTCACTGGACGAAAAAAAACTCAAATTATAATAGTATAAAAAAAATTCTAATATCTATGAGCTAGAAAATGATAATTACTGCTCGGAAGTTTCGTCAAGACGTTTTATAACTTTCTTGTACTCTTCTTCAAGCGCTCGGTACTCCTTTTCGAGTGCTTGAATGCGCTGTTCATTGGGCAAAAGGATCACGTTGTTAGTTTCCTTCTTATCCAGACTCTTGACAACAGACTCCAATTTTTTAAGATCTCTGCGCTCGCGTTTGTAAGGAACATTCAGACGTTTCTTTACTTCAAGCCTGTAATCACGGTACTCTTTCTCGTTAGAGAGGTCTGTGACTTTTAGCCTCAAGATTTCGTAAATTCTCCTAGCTTGTCGCTTGTTAATTTTAAACTTTTCCCTCGCCTCCAGAGCCATAGCTTTGTTGAATTTACTTTGAAGGAATTCCCGTCCGAAAGCCGGGAGAGTTGCGCAATTCAGTGCGTCGACGTAGTCTCTTACTCGTTGAAAATCAGGAGAAGGATCTTCCACTGAAATTAAATTTTATTATTAAAATTTTTTTTAACAGTAATTATATCGTTAATAATTTTTTTATCAATAATTAACTGTTAATTGATTATAATAAATACCAGTAATGTCTTTGACTTGATTATCGCCGATGTATTGCCGGTACATAGCTCTCAGTAAATTAGCGCCTAATCCCAAACCTTGGAAAGGCGGTAAGACAAGAATTTGAGCAATACGCGGTCTTGTGTGATTAGGATAAGCGTAATACTGATAAACAGTAGCGAAACCAACAGTTGAGTAACGTACAGACCCAGAAGTAGATGTAAATTTTTCAAACATATTGAAATAATGCCACTGGTCGTCATCGATGTCGATAAAACTCGCTGCGTCAATATACCAGAGTAAAAATGTCTGCAATCGTTGATGATATTCCTTGAATCCCTTGCAAGTCATATCCGCTTTGTAAACTTCAAAGTTACGAGTTTTTTCTTGTTCATCTAAATAATAAAATATTTCAATCACATAATACTGAAAGTTACTCTTTAATTATAAAAAAATAAAATTATGACACTGAAGTTAATTGACATGAGGAATTTTTTTATAAATTTAAAGCAATTAAATTATTTTCAAAAAATTTAATAAAAAAATTCCACATAGGGTAAGTGTAGGTATTACTGCAGATTTTTTTTATTTCAATTATAAATAAATGGTACTTGAGTTTTTTAAATTGAAAAAAATTGTTACTAGTAATTGAAATCTTCAAGAAAATATTTGCATAGTAGTTTTACACGTACAACAATTATTCAATGTGTTATTAATAAATTAAAATTAACTGGCTATACAGGTAGTAAAGTAAACTATAGCTTTTATGAAAATAAATTTAGCAGATAATAAATAATTTTTAGAATTTTTTTCAATTAATAAATTATTGTAAAAAAAAAATTGGCATGTAGAAATTAAAAAAAAAAATAAAAAATGCAATTTTTTTTTTAATTATTTTTTGGAACAAATTTTTTTGTTGAAAAAAATTAAAAAATTCTCTAATGTCTGCTAACTTTACTGTCATAAGTATAGCTTTTTTGTGAGTTTCTGTACGAAAAGAGGTGGTATTAAAAGATCTTTTTCTTTGTATAAAATTGTTGAAATTTAATATTTTTTGTATATACAGTCATGTATTAAAAATTGAATTTTGATATTAAAATTTTTTTATTAAAATTGATTAGGTAGTTATGAAAAAAATTGAGTTGTCAGCTAACTTAAGTATCAAAACAAAAAATCATAAATACCGGTAGCAGTGAATGAATGTATGAGTTCTCCAGCTGGTCTAAAAGTGTCATCTTTAGCCAGAGCTTTTATAAATGAATCCAAGTTATCATGAACCTGAGAAACCAACTTGTCTTTTATCTTAGGCAGAACGTCATCAGCTTCAACTCCCTCAAACATTCCTTTTGGCAATTTTTCAGAATAACTCATACCCAGGTAAGTTTCTAGAGACCCAGCAGAATAGTACAGCTTTATTTTTAAATCCTTGTATCCGAAGATGGTCTCACTGTCTCCGAAGACCTGGTGGGACATCTCAGGAGCAAATGAAGTCTCCGCATCCTCGAGATCTCGTTCGTCTCGAACTAGCTTGAACTCCAGAACTTCATTGCTGTCAACCACGTAGCCTTGCAAACGTGCGGTTGTCGTGTCATCCATCATTCTAAATAATTTAACAAAGTTTCATTAAATTTATTAGCAACTGTCAACTTAACCTATAAACTTATTTTACACTTTTACTTTATAATATTATTGTTAGTATAATAATAATAATAATTAATTAATTTATCATGCTCAGTTATTGATATTAAGCAGAATTTGTTATTGATTTAATTATATTATTACTTGAAGCTGTAATTGTTTAATTGGAGTTATTCTGAGTGTACACAAAGCTATCACTCCTCTAGTTCGCGTTCGCGCCAATATTTTTTTTCCACTAAAATGCAACCAACGTTACAACAATGGTCATTTTAGTCATTTTCACTAATTTTTACACATGCGCAAAGGTATGTACATTGTTTCCGGTCATATTCAAAACATTTGGTACCATGACATTTAAATTAGCCGTCACTGGACAATTTTTTTTAAATTATATTTAATAAAAAAATTTGTTCCAAAAAATTATTTTAAAAAAATTGCATTTTTAGTCTTTGAAAATTTCTAAATGTCAATTTTTTTTACAATTTATTTTTTAGAAAAATTCTTAAAATTATCAACTATCTGCTAAATTAATTATTATTAAAATATTTAAAAATATTTAGGTTACTTATCAATAATCGGTATTAAAGAAAACTAAAAAGCCTACGCGTCAAATAATATGTAAATATGTAAACATAGAGCTCGCTGATAGTTTAGTTATTGTGTAAATTATAATATTAATGAATACCTGGACTTTAAAAAATAGTTGATGATTTTTATAATAATTCCGTTTATGTTACCTAAAATATGATGGATTATGACTTCAAAGTAAAGACACAAAAAGAGAGGACCAAAGTCGAGGATTTATTCGAGTTTGAGGGGTGTAAAGTCGGCAGAGGTACTTATGGACACGTATACAAAGCTCGCCGAAAAGAAGGGTTAGCTTCCTTTAAATTTAATTATTTTTTTATTATTTATTATTTAGACAGTGTCTTATAATTATAATTATCTATTTCTTCTCTGTAACCAGGGTGTCGGATAGTGAATTTAAATCCAGGCCAGACACGAAAGATTTCGGGCTGAAACAAATCGAAGGAACTGGACTCTCAATGTCTGCCTGCAGAGAAATTGCTGTAAGTACTTGCCATTTTTAGCAAAAAAATTCACCAGGTCTCAAAAAATAATTATTTTTTAATCACATTTAATTTTAGTTACTCAGGGAATTGAAGCATATCAATGTTATTACACTTATTAGGGTATTTCTTTCACACAACGACAGAAAAGTATCATTACTATTCGATTTTGCTGAACATGACCTCTGGGTATGTCTTTTTAAATCTACTTGACTTAATTAATATACTAATTAATTTAAATATTTATTTCAGCACATAATTAAATTTCACAGAGCTGCTAAAGCTAGCAAAAAGCCAGTGATGGTACCAAAGGGTATGGTCAAGTCGTTATTGCATCAAATTCTTAATGGTATTCATTATTTACATTCCAATTGGGTTCTTCACAGAGATTTGGTACTTATTTAATGACATTTCTTAATATTTTAAATTAAATGTATTTAATTTTTTAATTTAAATTTATTAATTTATTACTCGTGATCAGAAACCAGCAAATATTTTAGTAATGGGTGAAGGAAATGAAAGAGGTAGAGTTAAAATAGCAGATATGGGATTCGCAAGATTATTTAACGCTCCTTTAAAACCTCTTGCTGATCTTGATCCTGTTGTTGTTACATTTTGGTACAGAGCACCTGAATTATTATTAGGAGCGAGGCATTATACAAAAGCAATCGGTAAGTATTTACTTTACAGTTTTAAAATTGTAAGTGCAATACTCGGTAAATTGATTAATTTTTAAATTATTTTTATGGCAAAAATTATGAAATTACCGAGTACGTAACGTGTTACTATGCCAAAAAGTATAAAAACAATTTTTTTCACTTCAATTAACCATCTAAAAATGTTCATAATATTAAAAGTGAATAAAAAAATTCTTTTTGTATACGCCCTTTTGGCTCTAAGACAAAAAAATTCTAAACCCAAAAGGGCGTATCTTTTTTTTTTCTTAATCATAATCAATTATTAGTCTTAAAGAAAAAAGAAAAGTTACAACACGTAAATAAAAATAATGACCCTGTTACTCATTCTATTTGAAGAGAATATGTATTTGATTGAAGAAGAAACTAAAATATCAATTTAGCTAGGCACTATTCTGATGCCATCTCCATTATCATTATCTTTTGCTTCTGAAAGTAAAAAATAATAAATATATATTGCTTGTAAATCTAAACTTTGAAAAAATATAATAATAAATAAGTTTTATTTGTATCACAATTTTTGTGTTTTACAAAGTCACATTGTTGTATTTACATATTTCTTTCATATAAAAGATTATTTACTCTCTTTATTCTATTTTTCTCTTATTTTAATTTTTGGCTTGCACTATTATTACTACACATTGTAGTTGACTATAATTAAATAAATTATGCTTTATTTGTGCTACCAATATACACTTAACTTTCTATTTACTCTTTTATTGCTTTTTCTTAGACTATTTTTAATATTAATTTCTTAACATTTTTCATACTTTATCCTACTCATTCAGACCCAATCTTATTGTTTTACTTGAATTAAATTCAGCACCTTATTATTATCACTGCTTTTATTACACTCTTCCTTCTCGCACTCTCTTTGTATTTTTTCTATTTCTTTTATTAATTTACATAGATTTTTACAAATTTTTCCTTTTAGTTTCTCCATTATTTTTATTCTCATAATGCTTTCACTGCCTTTGTATACATTCCACTCATTCATCAGCTCTTTACATTCTTCACTTAGCCTTTTATTTACTTCCTCACACATCAAGATATGTTCTATACTTTCTTCCTGCTCTTTACATACCCTGCAACTCCAATCACTTATTCCTTTTTTTCCTGCACGTGTAATATTTCCGCATCTCACTTTCGCTCATGTCTCTTTGTCCTCACTTTTCACTTCTATTTCGCTCCAATATTCTTGATTTTCGCTACTTTGAAAAAATATTTTAATCTTAAAAAAAATTTCAACAGTTGTTACCATCATCAATACATAAATCTTTGTAATATCTATGGTATTTTTTTGGAACTGTGTCTGAGGTACAAAAATGAATAGAAATGAAAATTTTGTAATTGAGTCAATTACATTTTTCTTCAAATAGAATGTTACTGTTATTTTATTTATTTATTTGATTTTAATGCCAAGGCAGAATAGAAGCCAAATGGCAAACTTAATACATATTAAATTATTAAATTAATGTAAAGTTCACGTGTAAATTTACAATAGCTAGTAATTTATCAAAAATAATACACAAGAATATTAAATACTTACTTAACACTTATCCAAATTTATACAAATTAAATTAAAGTTTAAAATTACTGATTTTCCCCGAACTCAAGATTTATGAAGAAATCAAAGGCTTTAGATTTAAAAGATTTTAGGGTTGTTATGTTGATGAGGTCAGTGATTTTGGTTTTTTTTAAATTTAAATCCATATTCATTTTTAAATAAAATCAGTTGAAGTCATTATTTTTACCGGTGTTATTTCTTTATTTTAAGGCTAATAATTAATTAAGATAAAAAAAAAAAAATAATACGCCCTTTTGGCTTTAAAATTTTTTAGAATTATGTAAATTTAATTTATTTAGTTAACACTCGTAATAATTTAATAAATTATAGATATATGGGCTATTGGTTGTATATTTGCTGAATTATTAACTTCCGAGCCAATATTTCATTGTAGACAAGAAGATATTAAAACTAGTAATCCTTATCATCACGACCAGTTAGATCGGTAAGTTAAATAATTTTTGCTCCTTAGATAGAAACTATTTAATAAAAAAATTTTTGATTCAGTATTTTTAATGTGATGGGCTTTCCTTTGGAGAAGGACTGGGAGGACATTAAAAAAATGCCCGAACATCCTACATTACTAAAAGACTTCAAGCGTTCCAAGTAAGTATACATTATTATCTTTTCAAGCTCTAAAGTAATACTAATAAATAATAAATGACATTTTAATAATTATAGTTATGCTAATTGTTCACTAACCAAGTATATGGATCGCCATAAAATAAAACCAGACAGCAAAGCGTTTAGTTTGGTAAATTAAATAAATTACAAGTGATTATTATTCGCTGGATAATTATTTTCAATGACGTATTATTTTTTCTATAAAATCTGCAGTTACAAAAATTATTAATGATGGATCCAAATAAACGGATAACATCTGAGCAATCGATGCAAGACCCCTATTTCTCAGAAGATCCACAACCGACTCAAGAGTATAATTGATTTTAATAATAAAAATTATTATTTTACTATTTTGTGTAACTAGTAATTTACTTATGAATTATTTTTCTTTTTAGTATTTTTGCTGGGTGTCCGATTCCGTATCCGAAGCGGGAATTCCTCACGGATGACGATACTGATGAAAAGACTGAAAACAAAGCTCGTCAAAACCAGCAGCAAACGGTAAATAAGTACAGACTATCTACTATACTGTTGTTAAAATAATTGAAAATAACTAAAAAGTAATGAAATTCAAATAAATAACTTTAAACTGTTTATTATAGCAACCGAATCAACCGCAGCAAGGAAATAATGAGCATAATCATGGTCAAAATCCAAAACGACCAAGACTGGGTACTCACGGCGCTCCAGAGTTCCACCAACATCAGAGTCATGCGATAACTCACCAGCAGCCTCCTGGGATGGTTTACTCGACGGCTCAGCCAACTCAGCCTGCTAACTTTCATCAGCGCTACTAGTCGACTGTCAATAATTTTTAACTAAAATTATTATTTTATTACTATTACAATTATCATTATCATTATCACTATCATTATTATTAAATCAGAAGATTAATTGAAAGAAAAAGAGCATCGGCGACATAAACTTCGTACCAGGAACCATCTAGACTTGTATTACAATGCTATTTATATTATAAATACAAATGAATTTATTTAATCTTTTCAACTGTTATCTATATTATTAAGAGTGCATTCGAAAATGATTTATCTCTGGATACATAATTAAGAAATGACCTTGTATCTCGTGATCTATTGACATTTTTTAAGATATAAGCTCATCCCGATGTTACACTCATCAAGAGCTTTCATTTGAGTACCCACATCAATTTTTCATATATTTTACATATTTATATATATATGTATATATGAAAAATATATCAAAATCCATGTGGGTACTCATATGAAAGCTCTTGATGAATGTAACGTCGGGATGAGCTTATATCTTTAAAAACGTCAATAGTTAAGAAAGTACTGTGCAATTTAACATAGTTAAGAAATGACCTTGTATCTTGAGAACTATTGACATTTTTTAAGATATAAGCTCACCCCGACAATACATTCATCGAGACCTTTCATTTGAGTACCTACATCAATTTTTCATATATTTATATATTATATNNNATTCATCGAGACCTTTCATTTGAGTACCTACATCAATTTTTCATATATTTATATATTATATATATATGTATATATGAAAAATATATCAAAATGCATGTGGGTACTCAAATGAAAGCTCTTGATGAGTGTAACATCGGGATGAGCTTATATCTTCAAAAATTTCAATAGTTAAGAGTGTACAGTGCAATTTAACATAATTAAGAAATGACCTTGTATCTTGTTAACTATTGACATTTTTAAAGATATAAGCTCACTCCGACATTACACTCATCGGGACCTTTTATTTGAGTACCCACATCAATTTTTCATATATTTATATATATGTATATATATGAAAAATATATCAAAATGCATGTGGGTACTCAAATGAAAGCTCTTGATAAGTGTAACATCAGGATGAGCTTATATCTTAAAAAATGTCCATATTTTAAAAAGTACAATACTATTTAACAAAATTCATTATTTAATAAAGCAAAATTTTATTTATTTACAGTACAAAAGTCTCGGCAGTCACATAGTGACTGCAAGATTGTTAATATTAATTATTTATCATTCATAAAGGGAAGAAAGTGTCATATCAACGTTTCTATTGACACTAGTGTCAGATTGGTCATTGTATTATCCAACTCAGCATTCATCGCGTACAGTCCCATCCCGTCATCACCATTTATCGTGTTGAGTAACTCGAATCCACTGAGCTCATCATCAACCACTGAAAGTGCAGCCGATGTCCGGTGCATAACTCGGACGTACGTGGTCTTACATATTAATTAAAATAGAGATAAGACATGAATGAAAATTCTTCTTCTTCCCGGTATCAAGTCAAGAAGTACTTATGCTGAATCAGAAAAATTTTTATTAACATCAACTCTAGGACTTGGTGTTTCTTCTAGGTCTTGGTCTCGGATATTCAGTTGTAAGTTACAGGTTTGGTTTTACTACCGTACTTGTATTGAGAATTGTATGGAAAAAGGTCTACTTAGAGGGGACATTTATTTTTATTATTACATTATATTAGATGAAGAGAAGAAAAGACCAAGGATCTTAAGTGGGAGGTATCGCGCTTGCGCATATCTTACCGCGCGCTACTTAGTTCTTCGCATTCTCCTAAGACTTGAACCTCCTGAAACGCAGTTTCCGCGAATCCGTGCTATAGTTAACGAGATAAGTGTGCTGTGGTGATGTTGGATGTCAGATTGTCGTGTGTCGAGAGAGGTGAATTAAAAGGGTGAAAAGACATTAGAGGGTAATTATACTCTCTTTATTTTAATTTTTTTTTTTTTATTTATTTTTTAAGTAGTTAATTAATTTTTAAGTTTTAAAAATTGACAATTTTTTTTAAAGAAGAAAATTAAAAATTAAAAAATAATTTTATTATAATTTGATGAAAAAAAAAAATTAATAAAAAAAAATAAATAAATAAAAAGTTAAAAAATTTAATAAATAAAATAAATCAATAAATAAAAAAAAAATTATAAATTATAATTAGTTATAAAAAGAAAAAATTGTCTCTTTTATTAAATTTAGTATCAATAAAATCCAACCGGTTACACAAATCATTAATAACTTTGTTTACTATTTAACAGAAAAAAAAAAAAAAAAAAAAAAATAGCGTAAACAATCGATTGTCGGAAACGTAAACGTCGATTAGTTTATCAAACGCGTGGCGTTTAACCGCGAAAAGTGGTTGGCAAGTGTAATTACCAGGTAAATTAATCTGGTGATTCCCATGGAGCGTTACCAGGGGGGTAACACGAGTTACTTTTATGCGACAGCGGGTACTCGTACACCTTTCAAACTCGATCAGCAAGATCAGACAGATACGACAAAATTCCATTCATTCACGCGGTTCCTTTCTCTTTAAATGTTACCCAGGATAAGCGTATTATGTAGTCTATAGTCTATAGTCTATAGTCTTGCGTCTATCATTCTGTCACTTTGTTTTTTTCCTATCCATCTAATCACTCAGATTATTTCATTATATACCCTTATCTAATTTATTTTCTAAAAACTATTATATTGGTTACTGAACAGTTAAGTGATCACATCACGTTTTACCTCTGAGTTCTTGCTTATAAAGATTGATAAATAACCGATCGGATACTTTGAATATTGTCTGATGTTTTGCAATAGATATAGATAGACATATATTATAAAATATAAAATATTATTCTCAAGAGGCTGTTAGATAATGTAATATAAATTTTATAATATGTTATAAAATTTATATTGAGGAAAAAAATTTAAATAGGCTGTCCGTGAGTTGCTGGTGATGTCTTGGGTTGATGTAGAAAGTACAGTACCTGATTTTGGTCCGTCACCACGACGACCTTGCCAGTGTCACCTTGTCCAAACTTTCCCATGCCCGGCTTGACTCCTCCACACCTAATGCTCACTAATAAAATAAATAAAATATTTTAAAAATAATCCAGCTAAGAAATAAGATGTAAGATTGTATCGGCGAGTTACTAATAAAAAAGTTTTATTACAACGTAATAAAAAAGTTAAATGTAATGTTGATGCTGGTTGGGACCAGGATTGGGATTGAGACAAGATCCTTAGTTACCTGGACGGATTAGATGCATACCTGCGGTAACGTAATCTATTGCATATCATTATAATTATTGCGGAGGTGGGTACCAAATGATTGCCGGTTGCGATGATGGTCACCGGGGAAATTAGTAAAAGTGAACGGGCGGGTATCTCCTCAGCATCACCAGTATCTACTTAAGAAGAAGGGGCCATGACCACGTTGCGACAAGGTAACGACGTTCGATATACAACAAACAACGTATAACTTGCTAAAGGAGCTTGCTGGATAAACAAACCTCGCGGGAGTTCTAACGATGACCTCGTACGTTAAATATTAATTATCAGGGTCAAGAGGTGTCCATATTTGTACTGGTTATTTTTAATGGTAATTCAGTGTCAATAAAAATTATCACCGGTTTACAATAGCTTCTTATAGGTTTTTATTTTAGTGATTATTTACAAGTCGGGTCCACGTTATTTTTTGATAATACTAAAGTTAGCCGACGATTTTAATTTTTGGATATTTTTTCATTTATTAAATAACAGTTAAAAAATATTTTTTAGAAATTGCACTTATAGTTTTTCAAGTTTTTTACAACTGAAAAATTTTTTTAATAATTTTGCCAATAAAAAAAAATTCTAAAAATTTTTAGGTATTGGCTAACTTAATTTCTATAATTAGCCGACGTTTTTAATTTTTGGATTTTTTTTTTATTTATTAAATTAGAACTGAAAAATATTTTTGAAAAATTACACTTATAGTTTTTAAAGTAAAAAACTTTACGAGTGAAATTTTTTTTTTATTTTTTTTGCTTCAATTATTTCAATAAAAAAAATTTTTAGATGCCGGCTAACTTAATTTTCATTATTTTTGGACATATCTAGGTGAAAAATTAACATTTTTTTTTATTCTGCTTGTTTTTACGGCGTATTTATGATAAAAAATATCGTGAAAGAAAAAAATAAATTTTGATAGCTTTTTGTCTTTAAAAAAATGAAAATAAAAATAATGGACCCCATTTGTAAATAATTACCATGTTTAATTAAAGAAAAATATTTCTTGAGAAGAAAATCAATAATAATAAATTTGAAAAGTGAATTTATTATAAAATAAACTTTCACTTTTGATCATTTGGGTTCAGCTAAGTCGTAAAGGATCTTGGAAAGTTGCTGCACGCTTCTCTGCTGTCCTCATTGTTGTGATGAACACGTGGGACGGATTACAGCGATTATAAACATGAGTAACATTTTTATGAGTACATAATATAATGCAGGATACAAGTATCGGTATTAGTATCGATACATATAGATATAAAGATATATACAATATTATATTATATTATAAAGGCATGAAGACATAATACACAATATATAATACTAAAAACCGCACGAATGGTTGTTCTGTCGGGTCAGTAATGATACCTGGCTCCTGTCTGCTACTGTTCGCTGTGCTGGGCTCGTTACTGATCTACCTCAATTTTTTTCGGTCTGTCCCATTATACGCCGGCTAAATTAGGGTCCATTCTGCTGCACTGATGCGGGCACCAGCCAACCGCTCAAAGAAGAATTGAGAAATTTACAAAATTGCTCTGATAGAATAAAGACAAAACGAAGCAAATGAAAAAACTAAGAAGAAGAAGAAGAAGAAGAAGAAGAAGATGAAGAATGAGAATAAGAATAAAAAATTTACTAGCAACCTGCAGTCACTATGTGCCGAGACGTGGACTATAAATAAATAAAAATTTTGCTTTTAATTAAATAATGAATTTTGTTAAATTACACTGTACTTTCTTAACAATTGATAT